CATTTGGGCTTGTTTATGGTTGTGCTCCTTCATTAAAGGAGGGGCAAGCAGGGTCATTGGACTCTCACCAGAGTATCCAGCCACTCTTCCCAGCCAACTGTATGTAATTGGCCCTAATCACACATGGTCTCCTGGATTTGGGGAGGGCTAAAGTATACAATCTGGGGAAGCCTAGGAAGAGAAGGCTTGACCCATACTGGGTAAAGGCTTTCCAGTGTGCATACCCTCAGGTCATTCATACACTTCAGGACCCCTCAGTGATCTCAGCAAATAAGCTCAGAAAATTCACTGGTTCCCCAGTAAAATGTCAATCAAACATTAGTTTGACACTAGAACCTTAGGAGGGAATAAGCATTGCTTAGTATCTCCAGGAAAAGAAGTCTCACAACAGATGGAAAAATTTTTGTTAATGTTATTATGTCTCATAATTTTTTAAAAAAGAAAATAAGAATGTAAAAGATGTTAAAAAGATATGGGAATGGAGATATTTTCCAAAATAGAAAAAAATGAGAAAGCCTAAGCAAGTGATGAAGGTCTGTTATGATATATAAATGATGAGACAAAAATAATATACACATAATCTTGAAATTTCAAAAGTCATAGTTTAGTCAACTAGTTTAAGGAACAAAATATTTATCTAGTCAAGGTGTATAAGAGAACATTTGGTTTTTTACCTAAGCTTTATCTACATATACATAGTACATGGTAATTAAAAGTGCCAGACTGGTAGAACTAACCTTACTGGATGTTTAACAGCCATAGTTTGAGGCCTATTCTAATGTGGTCAGAGGGACTTAAAGGATGGTTTTTACCCCTTGCTCTCTAAGGTTGACTAAGTTCCAAGGGACTATGGAACATCTGTCAAAAGGTCCTGTAACTGTGGTGGGTCACCTGTCCTCTTGTTCAGGGAGGCCATGGAGACCCCATCAGATGGACTGAACTAGTATCCAGTCTACAAAGAGGAGGGAGGAGGGTCAACTCAGAGAAAACAGTTCCTCCATGCTTCCAAGTGAAGCCAGCCATGGTCAAACAGGACCTTTGACTTATCTTCACATAGATGGAACTGGTAAAAGAAAGGAGTCAGGGGCTCCTCCCAAGCCCATGTGACCCCTGAAGAACAGATCCTTAAACAACCTTAAGAGTAAAATGAAATTGGCTTATCTGAGCCAAGTGCATGGTCTTAAACACCCAAAAGGAAAGTATAACCAAAGATTAAAGTGATCAATATAATTACGAGTCCATATGTATATCTAAAGGCTACATAACAAGAAACAGTGCCAGACAGGAGATACGATCTCTCATTGATTATTTTGTTCTGAACCGGAAAGTGCTGCTCAGATGTAAGACTTCAAATCTTGGTCAGCAATACTGTAGTGCCCACCTGTAGCTAAGGGAGACAACCCACTATTGTTCTAAAATGATGGCCAAATTTGTTTTCTCCGCCTATCTAGAAGCCTTTGAGAGAGAACTGACACTGATTCTACCACTCCAACAGCTATCAAAATACCTGAAAGCAAATCCTGAATCCATCACTCTCAAGTCCAGCCTTGGCAGACAAAAAAAAAAACCAAAACGAGGAGGAACCCAATAGAAGGATGCTTTTGGAAGCGCTCGTCAAGAAATGCCAATGGACTCTCATATGAACATTTGAAATTTGCCCTGTTCTGACTTTTTCCTAGTTCTCTGCCTGGAACTTGTAATGCTAATTACTCTTGCCTGTACTTCTCCTTCACATCTCCTATTCACCCATCAAGGATTTTCTTTTCCCCCTGCAGATAAGAGTTATGCAATTTGGGAGTCTTTTAGGTAGACCCACTGAAGGGGTATCCCAATTGCCTCACCCTTTGTCCCTGTTCAGCACAGAAGAAGCCAGAGCGGTCTGCATCCCGATTCCCTATCCGAAAGCTGGGTAATCTCTTCAGAGGATGGTGTGATAAGAATAGGAGGTAGGAATTGGCTAGGCAGTTAATATAAAAAGACCGCAAATAAAAGTAGCCAGTTTCTTGGCTAAAAGTCAAAATGTCCTTGGGCCTGTTAGCAACACACTCTGTTCCAAAGGCCAAACATGTCGAAAATATTTGGGAGCTTTTATCTAATCCTTAAGATTTTACAGCTATCTCTTCAGAGGGGGAATGTTAGAGTAGCAAAAAGCACCATTAAAAAAAAAAAGAAGAAGAAAGAGTACATGAAGTTATCAGAAAAAAAGTGATGAGGAGATGTGGGAGGAGTTGGAGGGGAGGGAGTGGGCATGGATTTGATGAAAACACCTTTTGTGCTTATATGCCTGTATGAAATTCTCAGTAAATTATCAAAAAAATAATAAAATATTAAAAAATAAATACATAAATAAAAAGTTACTCCTCGCATGGTGGCACACATCTTTAATCCCAGTGTTTGAGAGGCAGGCAGACCTTTATGGGTTAGATGCCAGTCTGGTTTATAAAACAAGCTCCAGTCCAGCTGGAGAGTTGGAGCTACATAGTGAGACCTTGTATCCTCCCCCGAAAAAGAAAAAAGTTACAATAAGCTAAGGATAATTTATTATTGAAAGAAAACATTTTAAATTTATTACATTTCTTTGTGTGGGTGCACTATGGTACTTCTGTGGAGGTCAGAGGACTACCTGTGGGAGTCTGTTCTTTCCCTCTATCATGTAGGGTCTGAGTATTAAACTCCAGTCATCAGCGAGTGCCTTTACCCACTGGGTCATCTTGCTAGCCCAAAGGAAGCTGTTTTTAATAAACTTAGTGTAGCCTAGGTACAGTGTCATAAAGAGTGTCCCGGGCCTTCACAGTCCTTCCCTGCTCACTCACTACCTCACCATAGGTGACTCCCACACCTGGGTGAACCATTCAGGAACAGATGTATTCTTAGTGTAGTGTTTGTTTAGAGACAAATGCCGTGATGCTCCCAGTGTCTGCAGTATTGAGTATGGAGCTGTCCAGCTTTCACCCTAGGAGCTCCAGGCTGCTCTTTGTAGCTCCCTGGGTTGGAGGCCACACCATCTGGGCTGTGAAAATATACTCTGCCATGTTTACAAAAAGGAAATCACTGAAGACCTATTTCTCACAACATATTGGCACTATTCAGTAACTGTATGTAAATAATATTAAATCTACACATGGCAAAATTAATACTATGGGAGTTTGTCTTTTGAGTCACTAATATATCGTATCACCTTTTACCTTAAGCCATATGCTTAGGATGTTACTGGTTCTGTCCCTTCTTGCCTTGGTGGCCACATGTTTGGTGTTGGTTTCTACTTTCTGCAGGATTAATTTTCCTGTCTAACAACCATATGATTTTCCTAACTTTTTTGAGACAAGGTCTTGCTATATAGCCCTGGAATTTTCTGTGTAGATTAGGCTGGTCTGAACTTCCATCTGTCGTTGCCTCAGCCTCCCGAGTAGTGAAATTACAGGAGTGAGCTACCACATCTGGCTCGACTTTACTATCTTTAACAGTAAACCTTGAAAATGGTCCTGTAACACAGACAGGATACAAGTACATTTTTAAAAGATTTTATTTTTTGGGGGGGGCTGGAGAGATGGCTCAGCAGTTAAGAACACTGGTTGTTCTTGCAGAAGACCCGGGTTCACATCCCAGCACCCACATGGCAGCTGACAGCTGTCTGTAACTCCAGTCCCAGGGGATCTGACAGCCTCTTCTGACCTCTGTGGGCACTGCACGACATGGGTGCACTTACTTACATGCAGGCAATACACACATACGCATAAAACAAAAATAATAAAAATTTTAAAAATTAAATAAAATATTAAAAAATATTTTATTTTTATTTATGTGTTCATATGTGTCTGTATGTATAGGTTTGTGTATGCAGAGGCCAGAGGAGGGTGTTGAGTCCCTTGGAACTAGAGTTACAGGTGGTTGTGAGCCACCTGACCCACGGTGGGAACCCTAACTTGGGTCCTCTGGAAGAGCTGTGCCTTTTACCTCTGAGCCATCTCTCCAGCACCACAAAACAAGCACGTTTTAAAATGTTTATACTTGGCCAGACGTGGTTTCACTCAGAAGGCAGAGGCAGGCAGATCTTTGCGTTCAAGGCCACCCTGGTCTCGTGAATCCAGGCCAGTTGTGGCTACAGGGAGACCCTGTCTCAAAAAGACCAAAAAAAAAAAAAAAAAAAAAGGGGGGGGGGCGATGGAGAGATGGCTCAGTGGTTAAGAGCACTGACTGCTCTTGCAGAGGACCTGGGTTCAATTCCCAGCACCCACACAGCAGCTGACAACTGTCCCTAACTCCAGTTCCGTGGGATCCCACGCCCTCTTCTGAACTCCGTGGGCATTCACCACATGGGTGCACTTACATACATGCAGGCAATACACTCATTACGCATTGAATAAGAATATTTTTTTTAAATATATGTTTATACTCATCATATATTTATTTGTTCTGTAGGCCCCCAAAGGACAGGAATGGGAAATTTGGAGCGCTTCCAGCAGATTTGAATGAGTAACTCTGGGTGGTTGTGCGGCGCCCCCGCGTGGCGCCTGGCTCCGCAACAGCCGGGGTTCTCTCCCTAGAGTTGCAGGGCCAGCGGTGCTTCCTCTTCCTCCCCTTTCTCTGTCTACTGACACCCCCTAATCACAAACCCTTTGTTTTGCTGGCCTATCCTATAGAGGCAGCAAAGCCACCACTCTAGCTAGATTGCAGGAGTGCAGTTGGTACTCTGGGTCCAGGGCCGGACCTTCTCACACGTCTTTCAAGCTTCATCCTCATTGGACGGAGAAGGCCCCCATATAATCTTATTGATCAATTAAAGGTCTGGACGCCCCCACCCCCTGTCCTATAGATGTCTGCGTTCCGGCCGGGGGGGGCTGGAGAAGTTGGGGGGGACTTCGGGGGGTAGGGAAGCGCCACCTCTGTGGCGATGGGCCAGCCCGGGTCGGAGTCGCGCAGCCCTGGTCTGGGAAGGTGGGTCTGGGCCTCTGTCTGGGTGAGAGAGAGATCCGCCACCATTGGCAAGCTTTGCCCCACGCGCGGGTGTGGGGAGGGCGGGACCCTACTTTTCGGCGGCGTAGCAGTAGGTCCCGTAGGCAGCCTGCTGGGGTCTGGGGAAGCCGAAGCTGCGCACGCCGGGATCGGGGAGACCTCCGCAGCGCGGTCGCGGCGTGGTGATGGGGAAGCGCACGCTGCCGTCCTCCAGCCAGCCTCCGTCGCATTGGTCCATCCGGGAGAATTTCCAGGCGGCGTAGAGATGCCCGACCTTGGCTACCACCGCTCCGCGCCTCCGGCACGCAGCGTGGGCTTCAGATAGCGTAAGCTGTCCAGGCACGAAGAACACCTGACCTGCGGACCGAAGCGGGTCACCCTCCGCCCAAAGCAGCTGGCCAAGGGCAGACTGATAGATAGCCCAGCTTCGGCAGGAGCAGCGCGAGAACCCGGGGAAGGGCAGAGGTGAGCGGGCCGGGGTCTGTGTCTCGGCACTGATGGACTCACCCGGCCCCGCCCATATCCCCTCCCGCGTTCTCCCTTTAGGCTTAGGCACAGCCCTGGCCACTGGGCCCCGCCTTCTTCAGGACTCCGTCCAAGCCTACCCTCGGGTCCTGCCCCCGGCCATTGGCCCCACCCCGGCCCCGCCCGCGTCCTGCCTTCTGGTCCTGCCCAGCCGCTCCCTGTGCTCTCACCCGCCAACGCCGAAGTGAAACAGAAGGCGTCGAAGCGGTCCCGGCTGCGGTCGCGGGGCCCGTAGCTGCGTATGCCCGGCCGCCCTCTACCACCGCATGCGGTGCGCGCAGTGAGCACTGGGTAGCGCACCGAGCCCTCTAGTAGCCAGCCCGCGTTGCACCAGTCCAGTCCTTCGGTCCATGCTGGCGGGGTTTGGAGCGAGGAGGACTGGCGTCACCGGTGGAGGCCACACCCGAGCTCACCCGCCACCTCCCTGGGGCTCCTGGGCAGCCCTGGGCTACCGGCCGGCCTCCGCCGCTCACCCTGGTATAGTTGGCTGTACGTGGCTAGTCGTCCATCCTGCTGCTCGCATGCCTGCTTCGCTTCGAAATAATTGAGCTGGTAGCGGCCCCGGCTGGGTTGGTACGGAAACACCACACCTGGGGGTGAAAAGCTTGGGCAGGGCCGGCGGGGCGCAGCCAGGGAGCGCGGGCAGGGAGGCCTGGAAGGAGCAGACCACTAAGGGTAGCTAAGGGAGCAGCGGGGCGGAGCGGAAGGTCTCACCCTCCAGGCGCAGAGTGAGCGCCACGCTCTCGTCCTCCAGGCCATTGATGAGCTCGCATCGGTACCGACCCTCGTCCTCCAGGCGTACGTTCGTGATGATGAGGGAGGCGTCCAACCGATGCCCCCTCCGCATACTGGCCCGCCCTCCCAGGGGCCCGTAGCCCCGGGCGTGCAGTCCATTGGTGATGAGGATCAGCGTTTCCCGGAGCTCCCCGGGCTCTACTTTGCTCCAGCGCACCTTGTAGCTAGGAGGCGAGGTGCCCAGGACGCAGGGCAGTGTGGCCGTGGCCCCACGACGAGAGTGAATGACCTCGTGGATGGGGGGCAGGAGGTAGTGGGAACCCGGATGGGGTGCTGAGCAGAGGGGCCACAGTGGCAGGAACCCTCTGATCCTCACTGCCCCAGGTGCCCATTTAGACCCAGATGCTTTCCCCAAGCTCACTGGCACCACCCTCGCCTGCTCCTCACCGACTCTCTATCCCTGGGTATTTTCATCAGCGGCCCTTCTCAGTCCTCCATCCCAGAAGCCTCTCTCCCCTAGGTTTAGGGTTGGATTGGGGTCTTACCCGGGTTCCCCAGGGCTTTGTGGAAGATCATGAATGCCCAAGGAAGAAGGAAGCCGAAGAGTGCAGGGAAGGGGTTCCGACCTGGCATGGTGATGTCAGCCAGCACTGTCTGCAGGATGCAAATGGTGGGCACACCTTAATACTGAAGGCAAGGATGGGAAAGGCAGAGGTGAGGATGAACTTCCTGTGGGGCAAGTAGCTGATGACATGTCACCTCAGCTGGCAGGTCCTGACTTAGCATCCCCTCATCCCAACAGCTTCCCAAGCCTGCCATTGGAATTTGAATCTCAGTATTTATCTCCCAACATCAGTTTTCTACCCCAGAGCCAAAGCAAATATGACCTTGTCACACTCCTGCTTAAAAGAGTGGTGCTCTTGCTGAAGATAAAGTCCAGCTCCCACTACACAGCTTCAAGTTTCCAGGATTCAGCCTCCCCTGCGAAGTCAGTGTTGCCCACCCAGTGCTGGCACTTATCACCGCCCACTCTGCACTGGCCTCCAGACATGCTGGACTTCTGTCAGGTCCTCAAACAGTCCAAGTACAAGCTCACAGGCATCACTCTGGGCCTCACCCTGGAAAACCTTTCCTGGTTCCACTACCTCACTGTGGAGCACAATCAACTGTACTGGACTGAGAGCTTTTTCCTTAGAACTTTATCAGCACGTACACTAATTTGAAAGTGATGTACATGTACAGGTAGACTGTGTCACTGAGATTTTCCAGAAATTACAACACATAATATAAAGTTATAAAAACGATTTCAAATGCAATTGTCAGTTTGAGTCACGGATTCTCTTCCTTGTCCTTACAGTTTCTATGCTTATCACTTTGAGTTTTTGTTTTCTTTTTCATAATTGGATGATGACTCCTTGCCCTACTTTTATCCATTTTGCAGATTAGGCTCTTCTAGGTATAAAATCAGGACCCTTAAATCAGGACCTTAACCTCTCAGATTCAGTACCCTGGTAAGGTGGGTGATGGCAGCATTCTATCTATGATGGTTAATCTTCACTATCAAACCCTAAATGGATTTAGAGTTGGGTAAGTCTGTGAAGTGTTTCCAGAGAGGATTAACTGAGGAGGAGACCCACCCTAAATGTGGGCAACACCATACCAGGGGTAGGAGCCCTAGACAGAATAAAAGGAAAAAGGAGAGAACTGGTTAAGCTCCAGCACTCCCCTTCTGGCTCTACCCTGGTAAGAAGTGCTCTGCCACACCCTCCTTGCCATGATTAAATTCTCTGAAACTGTGAGCCAAACTCAGTCTCTTCCCTTAAATTGTCACATATTTGGTCACAGCAATGATAACAGTTATAACTAACATATTCTACTTAATAGTTACAAGAATTGGGTCAATTAATAATGTATATGTAAAACACTTGAACTAGTGCCTGATATATAGTAAGTACTATAGATGCATTAGCTATCGCCTCTGATTTGAACATACTTTCTGCCTCCTAGTAGAAGCCAAACTGTGTGTGCTTCATTGTGAACTAACAAACAAGGGAAGGAGGGATGGAACGTTGGGATGGGGCAAGGAAGCATCCAGAGAGTAACCACAAATCTAAAGAGCTGAATTCCAAAAACCAGTTTACAGCTGGAGAGACAGAGGTTACTTATATTAAGAACTTTCTAGTAGTAAAAGTGAAAGTGCCTGGGACATCAGTCCTTATGGGACAGCCTGAAAGAAGAGTGATCTTTGGGAGCTGACAAGATGGCTCAGTGGGTAAAAGTACTTGCCATCTACTACCTGAGTTTAATTCCTAGAACCTATATGGTTGAAGTTGTCCTCTGACCACTTTTGGGCCATAGCACGTGTATACCCACCCATAAACACACAAAAATAAATAAAAATATAAAAAGATTGGGGCTGGAGAGATGACTCAGTGGTTAAGAGTGCTGACTGCTCTGCAGAGGACCTGGGTTCGATTCCTAGCACCCACATGGTGGCTCCAAACCTTCCTTAACTCCAGTTCCAGGGGAATTCAAAGCCCTCTTCTGATCTCCTCGGCATTGCATGACACAGGCGTACTCACATACATGCAGACAATACACTCATAAAATAAAATAATAAAATATTTAAAAAAAGATTTTGTCTAAAAAAATTAAAGTTTGATTGAGACTTGACAATTCAGGGGCAAACTAGCATTGACATGTTTAAAGTCTAATCTGCTTGATGCTGATCTAGACATTTTACTGTCTACTTTTATGTTGATTCCTCTGGCAATCCAGTGAGGTAATGATAAAAACCACAGGTATAATAGACTTCAGTGTAGTCACAGAGCTGTAAAAGGAGGGTTTTTCTGGGATTTTAATCCAGATCTGAGAGACTCAAGCTCTTAGTTATTGATCTACAGCTCTGTATTTCAAAATAAGTGGCAGGCCTAGGTATAGTAATACATGCCTTTAATCCCAGCACTTGGGAGGCAAACGCAGGCAGATCTCTGTTAGTTCGAGGTCAGCCTGGTCTACCTGTGGAGTTCTAGGCCAACCAAGTGAGAGCTTCATACTGAGACCCTGTTTCAACAACAACAACCCGGGGGGGGGGGAAACACACCAAACCCCAAACAAACACAAAAGGCAAGTGCACATATAATATTTTCATGCCCCTTGCAGAAAATGACACGGTAGCCAGCAGCCCATCACCTACCTGTAAGGAGCTGGTCTCCTCTTAGAGTTGAAGGGAGTAGTGCTTAGCAGTTTCTTGTCTTGGTGAAGGAAGAGGTTCCAGCGAAGGTGCTGCTGGGGCTCTGGGGAGGTCCAAGCACCTTAAAGCCTCAGGACTTGAGCACCTGATCAACACAGTTGCTCCTCCAATACCTTTCCTGAAAAACTTCTGTGCTCAAAGAAGAAGCCAAAATACTGAGACCCCTGCCCACCCATCACATTACTAAGCTGTCCCTGTGATTGTATCTGAGGCACTTGATTGATATGCTGGGACCAGGACAAGATTCTGGGCTTGGGACAAAGGAGGGTAGAGCAAAGCAGGCAACCCAGAAGAATTCCAAGAAGAGTGAAGAGTAAGCTCTGTTGTTTCTCCTGCTCTTAGACCGGGGGTTGAGGGTGGACTGATCAATGAGTGCCAGTGTGTTTGGGCCAATAGGGATGGGGATGAATCTTGAATGTGGCTCCAGCTCTGCATTTCCATATGGGTCTCATCTGAAAAACAGAATTGCCCATCCCTTCTCTAAATCCTCACCTCTGCTGCCCTCTGTGCTGAGGTATACATAGCTTTTTGGAGGAGGCCCTCAAGGTGGGAACCAGACTTTCAGGACTGATGCTTCAGAATTGTGGTCTTTTCTGTCCAGCCCTCTGCTTGTCTGTCCTGTCCTTCTCTGTCCTCACCCTCTCGGAAACACAATTTCCCATTGTTTCTGTCTTTCCCCCTATTGTTGAATAACAGGGCCCCTTTCTTCATCCCGTGGGTAATGGTAGTGAAATGTCAACAGCTGGTGATGTGGGATGCAGGAACAGCTGGCACATACCACCGGAAAAGTGCCTGGGTGGGTGACTAGCTCAGAGCAGACACTGACATCCAAAGAGAAGAGGATGGGGAACATTGAAAAGGGGCCTCCTTGGTACTTCAAACTCCAGGCTTCCAAAGAGATCATTTGTGATGGTGAGGAACGGCCTGGTCCAAGGGGCACAGAGGAGGAAGTTAGGATTGATGTTAGAGATCACTGGAAATCACGGTAAAACTTTTCTCTCCCTGGGAAAGGACATGGGACTTTTTGAGCAAAGAGGGACTAGGGAAGCTCTCCAAAACACAGTTCATTTTTATTCTGCAGTTTCTCCTTCTTCCTTCAACAAAGGTGGATAATCTCAGTTCAAAATTCTCAAGAGCAGGGCTGGTGAGATGGCTCAGCAGGTAAAAGTGCTTGCTGTGTAAGCCTGATAACCTAAATTCAATCCCCAGAGCCTACAGTGGAAAGAGACAAACAACTCCCCAAAGCAGTCTGACCTTTACACGTGTATCACGGCATGAACATAACCTGTACTCTCTCACATACAGTAATAAAAATTTAAAGAGATTCTCAAGAGGCCAAGTGTAGTGAGTGGCTCACACCTGTAATTGCAACGCTTGGGTGATGGAGGCAGGAGGATTGCCATGAGTTTGAGGCCAGTCTGGGCTACAGAGTGAGACCCTTTTCACAAATAAAGGGGCTGGAGGATGGATCCGTGGTTAAAAGTACTGGCTGTTCTTGTAGAAGTCCTGGTTTTGAATCCCAGTACCTAACAACTGTCTGTAACTCCAGTTCCAAGGGATCTGACACCCTCTTCTGTCCTCCTTGGGCACTGCACCACATGAGTACACTTACATACATGCAGGCATAATGCTCATACACATGAAAAGTAAAAATAAATATAAAACTAAACAAATTTCTGTAGAGAAGGAGACCCTTAATTTCATGAATAGAAATTTACTCAGGCTGAAGTCGCCTGCTAAAGTCTACATCCATTCTTTGAAACCTTGGTACAATTCACATACAGAATGCACAGAGCTAAGGTGTGCACTCAGTGCATTCTTACATGTATACAGACTGTAGACAGGTAACCCATCAACAATTTAGAAGCTCATTACTTTTGATTTCTGTTTGGTTTCTATCAGTGCAAAGGCCCTGCTCCCAAGCAGCCTTTTACAAGCTGATAGAGGGTCAAATTGCTTCCTGGCTTTCATTTTCTCTGCTGAACAACCCCACCTCGGTAGCTTCAAGATTTTAGAATCATACTTTCAGAACTGGGGCAGGGACATCAGGACGCTGAAGAGATGAGACAGGCTGTGACTTGCCCAGAATTACACACTGAGTTAGGCCTAGGGTGGAGACCCAGAACTATGACTAGGACAGTAGAAGGAGCTAAGGACCAACACAGAATTACAAGCTGAGTTAAGCCTCCGACTTCCTGCCTTTTGTGCTAACCCTTCTCTCTTGGGCTCCCCAAATCTGATGAGTCTCTTCCCCCTCCCCGCACCCCCTCAGTATCATTTGGGTATACCTAACAAGGGGCCCAGCTGGCTGCACACCTCAGGGTTGATTGGTTTTTTCGTCTCCTCCATTCTGCCCCTAAGCCCTTCCCTCCTCCCAGGACTGTCCCTCATGGTGACAGATGACAGCTAGCCCAATCTCTGGGGTTCAGGACAGCCTGATCCAGCGCATCTGATTGGCTTCCTCCCAAGGCAAACAAGTGGAGGGAAAGGGAGAGTCTAAAGCACCTCGCCCAGTTCCCTGGCTCAGACTGCCTCTTCTCTAGCTGTGCTTGGTAGGGCTGATCTTAGCAGGGACGGAGACACAGAACTATGCTCAGGGCTCTCTAAGGACCAATGCAGGAAGAATGCCTGTGTATTCTTAGGACCCTGTGAATGATGACTCCAGTGAGATGCTCAGGCCAGAGTTGGCATCTCTTCCTGGACTTAGCTTCTTCCAGAAGTTTGGGCCACTTCTTCCTCGGACACCTAACTCCCCTCGGAGGCTTCTATGCATACCACCATAGTTGTCGCCTGAATGGTTGGAAAGCCTGGCAGGATGGCAGTATAGGGCTTAGGCAGGGGGTAGGTGAGATTGGCAGGGTTCTCTTCACTTCCAATGGGAGGATGCTCACAGAGCTGCTTCTACCACCCACAGCCTTCTTAGAGGTTCTCTTGCCCTGACCCACGCAAGGAACCTGCAGACACACTTCCACAGGAGGCCTTAAAAACCATTTAGAATCAGAGTTCAGACAGGAGAAGGCCAAGGTGGGAAACTGAGACACTTGACAGCCCTCATCCTCACCAGCCACAGCATCAAGGAGGGAGGGAGGAAGGGAAGGAAAAGACGGCACAGCTAGAAACCTCTGCCTCTGATAAATCTCTATGGGGAGGCTTGGGCTTTGCCTCCTTCCACTGAGGAGGGCCTGGAAGTCCTGGTTGGAATTCAGCTTTCTCTTCTTCAGTTTGATCCCTTTATTTGGGGGCACCTGAGGCTGTGGAAGGGAAGATATAGCTTGGGGTGGGGTGGGGGGTTTCTGACATTGTGTTCTCACCCCACCCTGACAAGGCCAAGACTTCCAGGAACCATTCTCGGGCCTGGAGGATTTAATGACAGAATTTTGCTTATGAACAATCATGTTACCCACTATCTGCTTGTGACAGTCATTCAACTGCCGTATTAAGTGGGCCATTAAACCCAATTTTTGCCCAATTGGCCCTGTAAATACCTTAATATATATTTTAAAAATTTTAATAAATTTATTATTTTGGGGACTGGAGAGATGGCTCAGTGGTTAAGAGCACTGACTGCTCTTGCAGTGGACCAGGGTTCGGGTGGGTCCCGGCACCCACATGGTGGCTCACAATCATCTGTAACTCCAGTTGTGGGGAGGGGAGCAGGGGGGCTAGTGCCCTCTGCTGGCCTCCATGGGCATTGCACACAGGTGGTGCACTTGCGTACATGCAGGCAAGCCACCATATGAGTGCATCCATAGCATGCAGTGCTTGCAGAGACCAGAAGAGGGTGACAGAGCTCCTAGAACTGGAGTTACAGATGATTGTGAGCCACCATGTGGGTGCTGGGAATGGAACCCAGGTCCTCTGCAAGGGCAGCCAATGCTCTTAACCACTGAGCCATCTCTCCAGCTTCAAACAATTCTTTTTCTTTTTTGGTGGTTGGTTTGTTTTTGTTTTTTTTTTTTGAGTCAGGGTTTCTACTGTGTAGGCCTGGCTGACTTGGAACTTGCTGTGTAGACCAATTTGGCCTTGAACTCACAGAGATCTACCTGCCTCTGCCTCCCCAGTGCTGGGATTAAAGGTATGCACCACTACGCCCAGCTTAAACAATCTTTTTCTTATGGCTATATAAGTCACTGTCTCTTCAAAGCCTCAATTTGGTCCATTTGTTTGTTTTATCATTAATGTGTTAAATGAAATTTGAGTATGCATCAACAACTCAGAGACTTGTTCCCACCTGTCAGCATCCCTGTGCTGAATGTCACCTGGCACTCTCTGCCTTCTCCAGTACCTGGTCCCTAGCAAAAGAATTCATTTCTTACAGACTGTCTCTCCCTGTGGGTGGGACCCACCTGCATCCCAGCAATAAACCATTCAGTTAGACTCTGTCTGGAAAGTCTTGTTATATGATACTTGTTGCTGGCTGGGACTCCAGTGCTGGGTATAGTTCCTCAAACCCATGGGTAGACACACCCACCTGGGCTTTCTTCAAGAACCCACCTTAATAAAAGCAAGAAGCCATTCAATAGCATCCTCACTTGAATACATAAAATATACAATGGGAATTTTCTTCCAAGCTCTGTAATCTTACCTAAAATCAATAATGTGGAGAGGCTTGGTTCCACAGGCTCAGAAACCTCTTCCCCAAAGCCCAGCCATGCTGCTTGATAGCTGGGTTAAGAGAAAATTCACCTGTCTTTTCTTCTGAAAAAAGACCACACTAAAAACACAAACATAATGATCAGGACAGTGGCAGGTTCCTAGAAAGTATTCAACACATTGTAGGCATTGCTATTGGCAGCTGGGAGAGGGTGAGAGAGTAGGCCAACCAGACCACAGATGTTGGTTGATTTTAAGGGATTACCTGAAATTTAAAAAATATTTATTTTATTTTTTATGTGTATGAGTGTATTGCCTGTATGTATGTAAGTGCACTGTTGTTGGTCAGTGTCCAAGGAGGTCAGAAGAGGGCATTGGATCCCCTAGAACTGGAGTTACAGATGGTTGTTAGCCACCATGTGGGTGCTGGGAACTGAACCTGGGTCCTCTGCAAGAGAGGTTAGTGCTCTTGACTGCTAAGTCATCTCTCCAGCCCTGGGATTTCCCTAATTTTAAGAGGATATAAAAACCATAGTCACATGAAAGTCATATTCTACGTAGTTATTTTGTTTGTATGTTCTACATAGTTATTTTATTTAGTAATACATGTGGGCTGGGCATGGTGGAGCACAACTTTAACTCACAAATATCTGCCTGCCTCTCCCTCCCAAGTGTTGGGATTAAAGACATGCATCACCATGCCCAGCACTCTATTTCTTTTCTAAGCATGCTTCCCCTAACACTTCGGGTTTCCCCGACATTTTTGATTTTCTTACTCTTTCTCTAAAGCCCCCATCCCTGCCGTGTGGCTGCTGATCAGCCCTGTGTCTGACCTCCACGTCAGCTTAAACAGCATGCCTTTT